AAGGGCTCATGCAACTGAAAAACCAGGGGTGTATCTGGTGGCTTCAGGAGCAGCTGGATCCAGGGGTTTGAACGAAGAACCAGGATTCAGCCCTTCTCCCTTCTCCAGGCTCTGCTCTTCTCTGCCCAAGATTTAGTCTCAGGCACGTGCTCCTCACACGATGGCAGTCCCAGGATCACCTCTTTCCTTCTTCAAATCCAGTAAGGAAGAAATTCTTTCTCACCTTAGTTCCAACAAAAGTCCTAGAATTGAGCCTCAGTGGCTTGGCTTGGGTCATATGTGCATCCTCTAATGAATCACATTGTTCAGGGAATAGTGGATGCTTTGAGTCCTGAAGCATTGTGCCATCCTCTGGAACTGGGGTGGGGTAGCCCCACATGAATCTCATGCACTGATGGTGGGGAGGGGTGATTCCTCAAAGGAAAGATGGGAAGATGCTGCTTTCAGAAGACAGAAACTAGATGTGGAGCAGTGGGCAGATATGAATGCTGGAATCATGGCAGAGATCATCAAGTGCCAATCTGGGATCACCAAGAACAAGTCGTTCCTGCCAAACTGATTTCCTTTGATTGGGTTATTGGCCTGGTAGATCAAAGCAAAGCAGGAGGCTCATGAGCAGGAGGGATTCTGCACGGTATTTCCATTTATTTTTGTGGATGCAGCAGTTATATGTGAGCTGAAGGATTTTGTGATCTGAGGTTTCCCAAGTGGATGAAAGAGAAGCTGACTTATTGTCCCAGTGCAACTTGCAGGTAGTGTAGAGTGGGGAGCCACTGATATCTGTCCTTGGTTCTGCCCTGAGCCACCTGTTTCAGGTTGAAAGTATATATGACTTCCCGCTCTCATCTGGGAATGACAGGAAGCTGAAGAAAATATCAAGTCCCCTGCCTGACAGCCTCCACACCCTGAGATGGCTCCATATGGGAAAGAGGGATTAGATGTAATACAATGGAACGGAACTGGGATGAATTGAAGTCTCTGAATTTAAATTCAGAAAGCCAGTGACCCAGGGTAGATGGGTAACGCCCTGTTGTTTGCAGCACCCATGGCAAAGACCTAAGGCAGTGCTCCTCAAAGTGAGGTTTTCAGACCACTGGCACCAGTAAAAATAGCTAGTAGGGGATGGTATGGGTTTGGTAAAAGCACAGATTCCTAGACACCTCCCCAGACATACTGAATCAGAACCAGGATAGGGCAGGACCTGAAGATATGCATTTTAATCATCATCACAGGAGCTTCTGGCACATCTCCAAGTCAACAAAGGCCTCACCACAAGCTCTGAGGTCCCTCAGTCTGGTGGGCATTAACAGTACGATGTCACTGATCAACAGCTGACTGGGACTCTGCTCATGCAGTGCACAGGGCCATGTGGGCAAGAAATGTGCCAGCTTCCTTCAGGAGATGCCTTCAGAGGAGTGGTCCCGTTGGAGAGCTCCCACAGTGGGGGCCAGTGTGTCGAGTGCCAGCAACAGTAGCACTGGAGGGAGAAAATCCAGGGTAGACCCAGACTTTGTGTTCTGAAGTAAAAGAAATGAAAGTTTTCTAAAATAACAGAAGAAAAGAGGGGGCAGGCATGCTTGATGTGGCCCTAGAAGATGAACTCAATGAGGGGCAGATTCCTGCTCCCTTAAGAGGAGACATTTCCAGCCAGCAGAGCAGTTGATGGTGAAAATTGTGCTCTGTCACTGGGATATTGCAAGGGGGCTACAGACACTTGCAGGAGGGTCCCCCCTAGGCAGGATCTGGCTCCTCCTTTCCCTTGAGTCTGGGGCTCAAGAGCAAAGGAGGTTGTAGATGTCAGGAGCCCTCCTATCTGGCCATCAACCTTTGGGTCTGAGACAAGTCCTTCCTGGCAGCCCTCCAACCTGGATTCTTAAGCAGAATTCAGGTGAGACTCCCCTGTCTACACAAGGTATCCCTGCTCTTTTTCCTGACATGGCCCTGAGTACCACTTGGAAGGGGACAGCTGACCTGAGACCTGAGTGACTAAAAGGAATCATCTATGTGAAGATCTGGGGACAGGAAAGCAAACAGGAAGGCCTGGAGGTGAGGATGAATCTGGATGCTGAAGAAACAGAAGGGAACCACCATGGCTAGGGCACAAGCAGTGTTGCAGAGTAGGTAGGGGGCAGGTCATGCTGGGCCTAGAGGCTGTGGTCATCGCTGCTGCTTTCCACATATTTCAGTGGCTGCCTTCCAGGCATGTGGTAGGAATACACTCTCTTGTCCTCTTGGGTGGGCCCGCAGGGCCAGCTGTGGCCATTGAATTGGGAGTGGAAGTGTCATTTCTGGGATGAGCCATTGATTGCTGGTGGGTGTACTTCCAGAGCTCCCGTTTCCTCTCCGTCACCTAAGAGTGGCTGCTTTGTACTCGAGTGACGAAGATCTGGAGCAGTAGACCCATGATGGATAAATGAGAAATAAATTTTTGTTTATTTAAGCCACAGAGACTTGGGGACTGTTACCACAACATAATCTAGTCTATCTTGACTGCTACACAAACCATCTTATTCTGGCTGAAGAGAGAGGGCCAGAGAAAGGACCAGAGCAACCAAACTGAACAGAGAAGGACCTTTTCTTTCCTGTACCCCAAACCTCATTCCCAAATTCTAATCCCAGAGCAAAAACTGCAGGGGAAAAATCTATGGAGCATGGACATTTTAATCAAACCGTGCACAGAGTCATCTCAACTAACCTTGCAATCATTGAATAAGGTTGGCCCTGGGCATAAGGTACTTTCCTTCCCCAAGCCTGTTACCTCATTGATAAAATGGAGATAATAATGTTCATTTAACAGGATTTCCTGTATCAAACCAAATTATAAATGTAGGCAGACAGCAGAGTCCAGGACACCCCATTATGATATCATCTTATACCCCAGCCCCGTTCCCAGTCTTTCATTCTCAGCTACCTCCCTCCAGGGCCCAAATCCCAGTTCCTAACCATCTCCCCCATATTGGAGGCCCCAAATGCAGGTCCTGCTATTGTTTCACCTCTCTCACCCACCTCTTTCCTGGGAGTGGGGTGGGGCACAATGCCAGAGGGAGCAGCCTAGGTACACTGCTCCCCCCAACACACACATATGCGCCCGTGTGCACGCACACACACACACAAAACACACACACACTCTCTTGTTGGGTAGATCAGGGCCCCTTGACACTGTCTATGCACAAGCAATCCCCAAAACAGAGTTCAAACCCCAAAGCTGGTGGATATTTTTGGACATCTTCATCTGGGCTCACATGAAGTTAATTTTTTTTTTTAATTGTTTTAGTTAAAAATTTTAAATCAGAAAATCTCATATACTGATACAATGGCTTCTATTGAAAATTTGGAAGATGTGGCCCTACTGGGCCCCACCCCACCCCCACCCCCAAACTGGCACCTGGAGAAGAGCCAGCTGTGCCGGAGATGGGACCCTGTGCCCAGTCCCCAGCGCTGCCATTGCCTCCTTGGCACTGAAGCCCAGCATCTATAGATACGTATCTGGACATTGGCTGGTGTTTTTCACAGTAGAGTTAAGAGGAAAGCAAAACATTTCTCACAACCCTTCTCTATCAAAAGTGGGAAACAAAAGACAGACCGAGAGAGGGCCTCGTGATTCAAGAAATACAGGAGAGCTCATATCTCTTTGTGGAAGCGAAGACGCTTCTTATATCGCCCAGCATGCAGCATCAATTTATATTATCGACTGGCCCCTGTAGACATTTTAGTTTGCGACCGTGCCCTCACCCTCCCCATTCTCCTCCCGAGCAGAGTAGGAACCTCTCTTTTTCTGACCACTCTCCCCGCGCACATGGTGCGTGTTTGTCTTTTCTTTTCTCCTTCAAGGCAACCCTCTGTTTGTTTTAACCAGATTAGGGAATGGGGGGTGGGGAACAGGAGGCTCCTGCTGCGGTCGTTGCTGGAGGCTCCGGGAGACAACATGACTTGCCCAAGGTCACAGAGCTAGAAGGCGGAGGCTCCTAGACCCTACCCTAGATCTCTCTAGCTCCCAAAGCCCGGTTGGTTCCTTCACGCCCACGTCTCCGGCGCGGTGCGCACTCCGGGCGCAAACACCGCGCGCCCTGTCGGTTGCGCTGCGTCCTAGGATTGTTTTCCTTAGGTGAACGGTGCCGTGGGGTTAGAGAAACCTGGGGTCACTCTGAGGTCCACCAGGCTACGTGGCTGGGACTGCGGGTGGCGCCTAGTCTAGCCTACCCGCGTACCTCTGCTAGCGGGCCAGAGCCCGGGAGCTCTCCCGCAGTCTCCTATCCAAGCTACGGGCTGGGTGGTGTACCGCGGCACGCTGACTGCCTCGGAGCGCGGCCGGGAGGCGGGGACTGGGGTGGGCTAGGGGTAGAGAAACCCCGGGCACCCCTGCCCCGGGCCTCTGTCTGCAGCCTGGCGCCGGGCCGGGGGTCGCCGCAGCCCTGGGCCCCTCCCGGGCCACCTGTGCGCAGGCTGGCGGGCCCGGGAGAGCCCGGATCCGGAGAACCGATCCGCTCCGGGTTTCAGACTCCTGGCTGGTCCCTGGAGATCGCGTGGGGCGGTGGGAGGCCTCCCCGCCCACCACCCCAGCCCCTCCCCGGGGGAGCCTCGGGCATCGCCGGGAGGGATCCCCGGAGCTGGAGGGTGGCCCACTCGCGCGGCGCAGGGCGGCGGGGCCCCTCCTTCCTTCCCCCGCCCCGCCCTGCTGTCGCCCAGCTCCGGCGCTCCAGTCCGGATTTTGCGGCGCCCGCCGGCCGGCTCCCAGGCTGCGGGCTCAGCGCCGCGGCTGGCTCGGTGCGCGGCGCGGCTGGCGCTGCGCTCCGCCCCGGCTGCATTGCTGCGCTCCTGTTGCCCAGGGGAGCCCACGCGCCGCGTGCGCCCCGCACCCGGCCGCCCGGAGGCAGCGCAGACCGCTGGCATGGGCCCCGGGGGTGCCCGGAGCTGGGGCTCTGGGCTGAGGCGCTGAAAGGCGCCCTCTCGTCTGCGGGGCCCCGCGCCCGACCCGCCCACCCGCCTGCCCGCCCGCGGCCATGGCCGTCCGGTCCGGCCTGTGGCCAGCGTTCCTGGGCATAGTCCTCGCCGCCTGGCTCCGCGGCTCGGGTGAGTCACGCGCGCGCTCTGGGGACGCTTGCGGGGGACCGTGCGCGCGAACGCTCGTTGCTCTGGGGGTCCCTGATCCGCGCTGCCGGACCTGGCCAGGAGCCCCCGGGGGCCAAACTTTGCAAGGCGGGACGCGGGGGCCGCCTCTTGCTGCTGCGCAGCTTCCCCGCGCGCTTGCCCGGAAGCCTGGGTTCTGCCAAGTACAGGAGCAGCTGTCAGCGCGTGGGGCTGGCGAGTGTAGACGCCGCACGCCTGCAGGCGGGGGAAGTTTGCTGGTTGCCCGGCCCCAGAGCAGGGTCGGGGGTTTAGATCAACGCCCCGGGGAGTCTGACTTTGCCGGTTAGCAGATTAGAGAGTTTTGACCACATCCCAAGTGCCCAGGAAATTGAGGAAGGGGGTTAAGATACCTCTTCCCGGCAGCATCTGTCCCAAACAGCTACTCACAATTCCCAGCTTGGCACCTGGCCTCTGCCCACGTCCGGAACACAGTGTCCTCCCCTGTCCTCGCCACACACGCTCGCACACGCACACACCCAGGCGTGGAGGCGCATACACTAGCCCCCCAGCCCCTGTAGCCGGCACAATCAGAGCGCCAGGGCCCCTGACCCACGCTGTGGCTCTTGGCCTTCCTGGTGTGTGGAGGCCAGAGGTGTATGCTGTGGATATACTACCGCGTCCTCCACTCCCTTTCTCTGAACAACCCTCTCCCTCCCTTCGTGTCCCTTTGGCCACCCTCTCCTGCCCCATAACTCAGCCTTCAGCCCACCTCCTGGGGGTGGGGGGAGTTCCCCTGCATCCTTTGTTTGCTCCTGGGCATAGTCCTCGCCGCCTGGCTCCGCGGCTCGGGTGAGTCACGCGCGCGCTCTGGGGACGCTTGCGGGGGACCGTGCGCGCGAACGCTCGTTGCTCTGGGGGTCCCTGATCCGCGCTGCCGGACCTGGCCAGGAGCCCCCGGGGGCCAAACTTTGCAAGGCGGGACGCGGGGGCCGCCTCTTGCTGCTGCGCAGCTTCCCCGCGCGCTTGCCCGGAAGCCTGGGTTCTGCCAAGTACAGGAGCAGCTGTCAGCGCGTGGGGCTGGCGAGTGTAGACGCCGCACGCCTGCAGGCGGGGGAAGTTTGCTGGTTGCCCGGCCCCAGAGCAGGGTCGGGGGTTTAGATCAACGCCCCGGGGAGTCTGACTTTGCCGGTTAGCAGATTAGAGAGTTTTGACCACATCCCAAGTGCCCAGGAAATTGAGGAAGGGGGTTAAGATACCTCTTCCCGGCAGCATCTGTCCCAAACAGCTACTCACAATTCCCAGCTTGGCACCTGGCCTCTGCCCACGTCCGGAACACAGTGTCCTCCCCTGTCCTCGCCACACACGCTCGCACACGCACACACCCAGGCGTGGAGGCGCATACACTAGCCCCCCAGCCCCTGTAGCCGGCACAATCAGAGCGCCAGGGCCCCTGACCCACGCTGTGGCTCTTGGCCTTCCTGGTGTGTGGAGGCCAGAGGTGTATGCTGTGGATATACTACCGCGTCCTCCACTCCCTTTCTCTGAACAACCCTCTCCCTCCCTTCGTGTCCCTTTGGCCACCCTCTCCTGCCCCATAACTCAGCCTTCAGCCCACCTCCTGGGGGTGGGGGGAGTTCCCCTGCATCCTTTGTTTGCTGTCCCTGAGCTTCCACCTAGGCTGAGTTTTTGGGGGCCTCCTGGTCTGTGCCTGACCCCCATGCACTTAGCAGAGCTGAGTGTCTATGTGTATGGCGGGGGGCGGGGGGAGGGTGTCATTCGTGTGATCAAGGGGGCATGGAGTTTGCCCTAGCAATTCTTGATTCTTGCTACCCTGAGACCCTGGTGTGTGTGTGGGGGGGGTGTGCCGCTGAGCCTGGCCAGGCCATTGTTAATCCCAGGTGTGTCAGAAGGGAGCATAGGGTTTCCTGAGATGGGAAGCCAGACTGACTGGAGATGAATGAGTGAAAGCTCAGAAACCAGCCTGATGATTGAGGCTGATGGCTGTTTCCTTAAAGGGTCTCTGCATAGTGCATCCTGCATCCACCACTGCCTGGCCACCCTCTGCATCCTGCCCCCCTCAGTCCTCCCTCCACCTCATCCCATCCACTCTCTCTCCCTTTCCATCACCCCATCATCCCCCCACCAAATCCTCACTTTACCAAACCCCTCTGCCCCATGACCTCCCCTCCTCATCCGGACCAAGCTGGGAGGCTGCACTGCCATTGGGTGAGTCTTCATATTGCACACATGTGTGTGTTAGGAGTGTGTGCATCGCTCAGGGGTACGGGTTGCATCACTGACTGTGGTGATCTGGGGGTGTTCGAGCTCCACACACAAGGGAGGTGTTGCTAGATACCCAGTAGGGGCCGGGACGTGTTTACTGAGTCAGATGCTTGCGAGAGGGCTGTGTGGTCATATCTGCATATTGCCCACGTGAGCACGTGTGAGGGCCATGGGCTGCCATGTGTGCCCTGGCGATGACGCGGGTTGGCAGTGTGTGCAGACTTGGTATGCGTGTGGCCAGATGAGCGTGTGTGACGGTAGGCCTACCGCACGTGTGTGACAGTTGTGAAGGTGTGTAGATGAGACGGTGGTGGGTACTGGTGAGTCAGGGTGCCGCAGCCCCAGGGGTGCTGCATGGATTCCTTGGGAGGCTGTAGAGTGGGGGAACCGCATCCCTGGGTCTCGAGGCACCTTTTGGGACCTCGTGTAAGGTTGCCGAGGGAGCTGGCCAGTGGGCACCCGTGCCACAGGACTGCCCTGGAGCAGAGCCTGTCTCTGGGCATCAACTCTCAGGCCCATGTGAGGGGCTGCTGAAGGGCATGGGGCCCTTCTTGTCATCTGGGGCCCCTTACTGCTGGCCCCCACAGGCTCCGGGCACATGTGCCCAGCAGGCTGGCCCTGCGCTGACCCCGGCTCCTCCCACACCGCCCATTTAGCTCCTTGGCAACAGCAACCAGTGAAATGTGTCTGTGAGTGGCTGAGGGAGGGAAGGCTGGCCAGGCGGCAGGGGGCGCCGGGGGCCAGCACTTCTGAAGCCTCCTGCTCTCCGGGCTAAGTGCCCACCCTCTGTCTCCTGATATCACACAAAAGCCTGTCCCTTCAGCACACTTACCCGAGTGGGCCCTCTCTGTGCCCGCGCACACAGGGACCCACGTGTCTCACAGGCTTTTCCCATTCATACCCAGTCACACAGCTGGCACCTGCCTCCCCGCCCCTGTGAGCTGCACACACCTGTGTTTCCCTGTCTCGGATCTCTGCACTCCTGAGGGGGCGGGGCCCACGGGGAGCTGGATCTCCTGGAAGGTGGGGCTGAGGGGCATCACTGAGTCGTGGCACTGCCCATCCTGACCCCAACAGTCTGTCCCAGTGGCCGCTTCCTCAGGCCCCTCCCCCACCTTCAGGGTTGATCCTGGACCCCTCTTTCCACCCCCCACCCCCAGGCTGGAGCAGTTGGTTGCTGGGAAGGTGTCTTAATTCTTCAATGCTAAGAGATACACTGCTCTCACTCACCCTGCCTTGGGATGGGTGTCTGCTCTTTGGGGTCCCCCCAGGCACCCCAGAAGAGGGCTGGCCCTCTGACTGGCCCACCTGCCTCTCCTTGCCTGTGCTGGGAGGGGCTTCCCTTAGGAGCCTGGGATTGGCATTGATCCAGGTACCAGACCCCCCCCAGCCAAGAGGCACTGACTGGCCTGGTTCCTGGTTCCTGAGCAGCCAACTTTGGCCTCAGCCAGGGGCCAGGACCCCCTGTCTTATATCCCTTCGTCCTGCCTCGTGCTGCTCTGGGCCCCAGAGCTGCAGACTCAAGCCATGAAGTCTCAGAGGCAGAAGCTGCCCTCAGCCAGGGCTGGAGGACTTTTCCAGGCAAAGGCCCCAATGCTGGGCTTGGCTGCCACCAGAGACACATGTATACACAGATGCACACACACGCGCGCGCGCGCGCGAGCACACACACACACACACACACACACACACACAGGCGTGTGCACGTGCGCACTGTCTCATGAGCGTACCCAGACCTGCTCATTCCAGGCCAACCCTCTCCTGCAGTCCCCTCCTCCCAGGGGCCCTGCCGTCCCCCCTTCCCTTTTTCCCCCAGCCTGGGGCTGGAAACCTTAGAGTCTCTCTTGGCTCTAAGGTCCTCCTTCACGCTTCATGTCTAACCTGTCACCAAGTCCTCCAGCTCAGCCATACTTGTGACTTTGCTCATGTCCCTCTCCTTTGTCCCCTCCTCCCCCAGCCCTTTCTTCCTCACCTTTCTCACTTGGACCAGTGCAGTGGCCACCCCCCACTCATCCCCCTCCTGTGCCTCCTCCACTTAGACTAATGCCCCTTTTACCCAGGCTAGAACCCACTAGAAAGCCTTCTGTGGTGCCCCAGTCCAGCAGGTAAAGTCTGAACCCTGAGCCCAGGAGCCATTAGGGAAACACCTGCATCACCACACATCCCTGGGCTGATGTGTTGGCAGGTTGGGCGTCCTCCCTGGCTCTGACTGCCGGTGGGCTGGGCATCCACACCCCCAGACAAGCTCTTGCTTCCACACACTGTACTTGCCTTGCAGAACCTGGTGCCCCCCAGCCAGCCAGCCACGCTCCCCATCCCATACCCCAACATCCTCAGCTCTGTCCAGATCCAGGCCAAGCCCCCCTGCTGCCTCCAGTCCCCACTTTTCTGCTTGTCTCAGCCCCCAGCTTCAATCCAGCCCCCTCCAAGAGGCCTCCCCAGCTCCTCCTAAGACCCATGCAGGGGTCACGGCACACTGAGGAGCTCTGAGTGGGCTACAGGACAGAGGTACTGGTTTTTCAGCCCTGGAAAGGCACGTGGGGCCTGGGGCAGCTGCCAGAGGCATCTGGCCCGAGCCACCTCCTCATTCATGCCAGTGCTTCCCACAAATATTGCCACTGTCTGCGGCACTGCGACCCGGTTCTCAGCCCCCAGCGTGCTCCAAGTCACAGCCAGTCAAGTGCTTATTTTTTCTCTTTATTTCCTCTGCTTGAGTTCGG